TTGTTTTCGGCGTTCATCGGCCACAATTTTAGTCAGTTCTGGCACAAATCTCAATATCTCAAAAATCTTCAATAAATTATTTTGCGAAAACTATCCCCCGATTTTAATGAAATTTGGTGTGTTATTTTATTATACTTTAAAGTTTTTTTTCGATAATCAGAATGCCCTCGGAGCAATTAAAATATGTTTAAAAAATTATCCAAGAAACTTGATTATTTTGTCTTTTTTCATCAATTACTGTTATTTTGCAACATCGGTAATAAATTTAAATATTTTTATCTTACAGTATATTGTGCAAAATTCAATTCTAAAACTTTTTTCCGTTTCAATATTCTTCCCCAAGATATAAGTAAAAAACTCAGATAAAATAGGTATTTTTGATTGTGTTAACCATGACTTGCTACTAACAAAGCTCCAGGCTTATATTTATATTTACCTCAACATTTGAAAAACATAAATAACTTTCATCTATTTAGAAAAAATGTTAAAATATATTTATTAAAAATTTGTGCATACTCGTTTCAGGAATTTTTTGACAATAGCTGTTAGCTTATTTTATTTTAATCTGTTTTAGGTTGTATATTATCATATGTTTATATTGTATTTATTATTTTACTTATTTATTGTTTGTACTGTAATTAATGTGGATCGGCCTATATGCCTTTTTTTTAACATGCAATTATATAGTATTATGTAGAGTTTGTCTGTCTGTCTGTCTGTCTGTCTGTCTGTCTGTCTGTCTGTCTGTCTGTCTGTCTNTATCTATCTATCTATCTATCTATCTATCTATCTATCTATCTATCTATCTATCTATCTATCTATCTATCTATCTATCTATCTATCTATCTATCTATCTATCTATCTATCTATCTATCTATCTATCTATCTATCTATCTATCTATCTATCTATCTATCTATCTATCTATCTATCTATCTATCTATCTATCTATCTATCTATCTATCTATCTATCTATCTATCTATCTATCTATCTATCTATCTATCTATCTATCTATCTATCTATCTATCTATCTATCTATCTATCTATCTATCTATCTATCTATCTATCTATCTATCTATCTATCTATCTATCTATCTATCTATCTATCTATCTATCTATCTATCTATCTATCTATCTATCTATCTATCTATCTATCTATCTATCTATCTATCTATCTATCTATCTATCTATCTATCTATCTATCTATCTATCTATCTATCTATCTATCTATCTATCTATCTATCTATCTATCTATCTATCTATCTATCTATCTATCTATCTATCTATCTATCTATCTATCTATCTATCTATCTATCTATCTATCTATCTATCTATCTATCTATCTATCTATCTATCTATCTATCTATCTATCTATCTATCTATCTATCTATCTATCTATCTATCTATCTATCTATCTATCTATCTATCTATCTATCTATCTATCTATCTATCTATCTATCTATCTATCTATCTATCTATCTATCTATCTATCTATCTATCTATCTATCTATCTATCTATCTATCTATCTATCTATCTATCTATCTATCTATCTATCTATCTATCTATCTATCTATCTATCTATCTATCTATCTATCTATCTATCTATCTATCTATCTATCTATCTATCTATCTATCTATCTATCTATCTATCTATCTATCTATCTATCTATCTATCTATCTCAGCAAAAATTAGCTTGCCCCCTCTTACATCAGTGGGATATTTCGACAGATCCGCCCTGGTCTAATAATAAATCCCGTATAAATACCTACGAATAACAGCTATATCAACGTCAATTATCTCTAAATCCATTAGGTCAAACTGCCCCTTCAAACTTGCCTAAAACATCGGCTGCGGTCTTCCTCGGCATTTTTCTTCCCAACTTTCATCCATCCTCGATAGACCCTCCTGCCTCTTTGGTTAGTTAAGTTATTTAGGTATCCCTTCGGACACGAGTCGTCCCTTTCCGACATAACAATTTGTTTCTCAACACAGCTTATCGGCGTTTGATTTTGAGTAGTTTTGCTGTTAAAGATTCACTATAGGAAGGATAGTACTGTGTTAGGATTAATTTGCCGTTGAGCAGCTTTTAGCTACACGCGGAACGTGTTGTCTGAGGGGTTTATTACCTCCCATTCAATTTTAATGGCCGATAAACATATACATTAAGGTGATTTCCGGGAGATTGTGTTTTTATAGATGCTGTTAAGGAGCGCGCTTTGGCCGAGATTAAATAATAAATTTCCTAATTAAATAGTAAACTAGATTTAATCACTTTGCTTTTGAATAAGACTGTTTATCGCTTATTTTTCTGTTTGCGACGTCGTTGGTATAGAGGGTGTGATTAGGATAATAAATAGATGAGATTCTTGCAAGGTCAGTCATTTCAATAGTGCGTTGGCAGCTAAAAATATAGTGTGTTAAAAGTTTCATTACTATTAGTTCAGCATAAGATAGATTAAAAATGAATGTACATATTACATGGGCGTAGCATTAATTGTGTTTAAAATGCGTTAAATATTGCGGGATTTTATCACAACTTGGTAACAATGTCAATGTCGAATTATTACTTGACCAAATTCTGAGAGCGCTGACTAGCGCGCGTCAATTTTTTTTACGGCGAATGTCAAAATGTCTAAAGGTAAACAGTTATCTTAGTTAATAAATTTAAAAAATGTTAAGGCAATTATTTTGCATTTGAAATATGTGTAATAAAAACATCTGGAGATGATACAAATTGTCATAACTTACAAGGTATAAGATAAACTAAATCATGTCTGGCAAGACAACAGCTCTTATCTCGACCAAATATTAATCGAAAAACGATGCTACAAATTTTATAATATGTGGATCTTCCGCCCAGTTATGAATATTACAAAAATAAAAAAACGGCATTCGTAGTAAAGCATAATTCTTGTCTAGTTAAGATTCTTGAGACAAAAGGAGGGTTGAGGTCAGTTTTAGATAAAAACCATCTACAAAAATTTAAACGAGTGGCGAAATCTATAGCTGACAATTTTTGACCTCGATAATGCCTAAAATATGTTCATCCGTTTCAATATCCACTCATCTGTTTAGGATATGATTTTCAAAGCGAGGAATAACATTACCAATATCAAGAGGACAACGAATGTCCTTCTATTAGCCATTTGCTGCTAGGGAAGACGACGGTGATAATTTGTCGTGCTCTAGTAGAATTGCAGAGAGTTTTCCCATAAGATAATATAAGTTAATTTCCCTAACATAACGATGTTTATTGCTCAAAAGATGCGAAAACGAATATTTTTATGAGACATACACTAAAACTGAGTTATTTGATGTACTAAAATATGCTAAGACGGTTCAAATAAAAACAAGGGGAGCATAGTGTTAAGGCTTTCGCCATATTTAGCAGCAATCACGATCGTACTAGCATAATTTTATATGGCGTCAATTAAAATCTGGCGTTCGACATAATAATAGGCTCTAATTGCTAGTGCACTGGATATTATCCTCACTGAAATGAACAAAGTGTTAAAACAAAACAAATAAAATGTTAAAATTGTTCAACATTCATATATTCATATTAGGAATATTACAGAGATATTATTAGCACAGGTGATGACTAATAATACTGTTAGTGAATTAATTATAGACAGGATACATCTAAATAGAAAGCAGGTAGTTATTCTCTAAATACAGGGTGTTTCTTAAGTACAGGTAAAAATCCAGGGGCGTATTCTGTGGCGAAAAATAAGGGGTTTTTGTTATATAAATATGGGGTCTTAGGACAGCCATTGTCCAAATACAGCGTGTCAAAAATTAAAAAAATCAGTTTTTAATTTTTAATTTCTAAACTGCTTAAGATAATTTAACCAAATTCGGTGTGCATATTTAGTATGACAGTATGAAACAGAAAATTACCAGCTTTAGAATCTTACCAGTGGTGGAGGTAAGAGTATCATCGATCATTATTTGCTAAAAAATATATATCACTCTGTATAATATTACAAATAAAATAGGTCATCATATGCGCCATTGTATTATCTTCACTTTTTCTTTAGAGTAATTCATTTAACAATTATTACTGCCGCTTTTCTATTAAACCTTATGTGAATTGAAAATTTTCCAGATTATCCTTTGACAGGAGCCTACTACGTTATTTTACATATTATAAGCTATTTTTTGTAAACTTCGCATTTTTTCATAGAAATGAGATTTCATGAAAAACTAATGAATTTTGGTATAGGAGCAAGTTGTAAAGAATTTAATGCTGCATCTCATGGTATGAAAATATACAGGGTGTTGCATTAAAAAAAAATGAGATTTTTCAATTTTTCAGTTGGCAATTTTTACATGATATTTTGGTCACCCTGTATAACGCGGGCCAGTTTTTGGAGCATGATCCGGAAGAGTCATCCTTACTAAACATCTGATAAAAAAATGGGCTTAGTAGCTATTAGTATAACCTGTCACTATCAGAAAATGTAAGCAGCCAATATCGACCAGAAAAATATTTCAAGCGAGATATCTCAAAAACTGTGCATATTTGAATACAACTATTTTACACAAAGTACCCTTTATTTTTTATGTAGAATCCGAAAAAAAATATAAAAAATGTGTTTCCATTTAAAAAACCAAAGTTGGTGTCTTTCCAGGAAAAGTGGAACACCCTGTATAGTTGAATATGTTTTTAATTTGTACATTCCGAGAAATGTGGCAACATAGTAAAAAGAAAAATCCATCTATTCCTCATTTTAACATAGATATTGGACTTTCCCGCACTAGTGGGACACGCTGTATAATCTATTATATAGATATTAATCAGTATACGAGAAAAATATTAATATTGGAAGACATACTTCACAGAAACGTTAGAAATTATCTTGAAAGGAGGTACAACTTGTCAGAATAATAAACCTATCCATTTTCAAAATACAGAAAACAAAACCTGTATGGCTTAATATTTTATGTTTCCTCTAGAGCATAAACCAGTATTGTATATGTTTATTTTTTTTTTCAGAACCATGGACGCCTTATTGGGAACACATAAAAGAAGGATGGAGTCGAAGAAACGAACCGAATCTCTTGTTTTTCTTCTACGAAAACATAAGCAAGGTGGTGGTATTTTACTTTTTTCGTTTATCTCTTTCATGTTACTAAAGTACGTCACTCGCCTACACAATATGCCTTAAATCATTTACTAAGCCACTGCCTATACTAATTTTATATATTTTTTTGCAGAATTTGAAAGGCAACATCGAAAAAGTGTCCAAATTCCTAGGAAAAAGCTACTCGCTTGAACAATATGAGACTTTAGCTGATCACTTGGACATAGACAATTTCAGAAAAAACAAATCAGTCAACTACGACATTCTGAAGAACCTGGGGGTTCTGATCAAGGGCGAAGAGGCATTTGTAAGGAAGGGTAAGAGCGGTGGATGGAAAGACTACTTCGACGAGGTCCTCAACGCCAGGGCTGACCGCTGGATCGAGGAGAATTTGAAGGACACTGATTTGAGATTTCCAAGTACAGTTTAGAAAAGTGTATAGTTACGTAAATTTGTTGGTTGTTAATTGTTATAACAAAAAGATGCTATTAATAGTTTATTGTATGTAAATAAATCGTCAGGAATTAATTATACCGTTAGTTTAGGACTTTTATTTTATTTCTTGCTACAAAATAAAACGACTTGATGAAGAAGTATTACAATCGATTCTTGCTTAATCGAACTTACAGTTACTTTCTAGAAGTGTAATTCTTACTCAATTTTCATTTACTTCATTTGCGACAGTTAAAATTTTTATTTTATAGACGAAAATAATTAAGAAAAGAAATAATGTAAGAGATTTTTATTGTTTTTAAATTAAATACATTCAAACAATTTTTTCAAGTCAAACTGTTCCTCACACACATCAGGCTTCGAATGGTTGTTAGTGCATGAACTAGCTACTCTGTGAGCTACAGGCCCTGACCAGCATTGAATTATACTAGCAATATATACAGGGTGTATCATGAAGAGGGCTCAGTATGATTATCTTAAAAAGTAGTCAGAATTGAAATTTGAATATACAGGGGTTTATCAAAGAGATCTTTTCAATGAAAACGATGTCAACTTTCTCGCACTTCCGGTTATACCGGTAGTCATCATCAACTCTGTTATTTCAAATGGAACACTCTATACAGGCTGTTACAAATTCTCTTCTCACTATAGGGATCTCGGGAATGGGAAGAGATACGAACTAGCTTAAATGGAGGCAAAGTTGCGGAATCAGGGGACCAACATTATGCCTCTAAAAAATCAAGGCTAATATAAATAACTAGGTGGATTTCACAGTGTCTAACGACACTTAGAATAAACATAGAAATCTAAAAAAAAATTAGATAACTTTGGAACTAATACATTGAAGATGCATTTTTCGAGACAAAACGTCCGAATCTGATTCGGACTGAGGCAATACAATATTGGGGGTTATCTTCATAACCCCCAATTGCAAACATTGGGGGTTACTTGCAAAAATGTAATAAAATTTCCAGGATCGTATTTAAAAAAATGAATTTCATGATGGTCCTAGAGAGACGAAACGTTACATATAAAAATTGATTATGCCATTCGATAGAGAGTAAATAGTTGCCATGAGAAAATGTTCTTCTTTCCTCACCTCAAACAAGGCTGAAATGAAAAAAAAAGAATTCCAAAATTTCGTTTTTTTTCAAATTTTTCGAAAACTAATCATGTTAGTTCCGATTTTTTAAAGGCATAATGTTGGTCCTCTGATTATGCAACTTTGACCCCATTTAAGCTACTTCGTATCTCTTACAGTTTCCGAGATCACTGTAGTGAGAAGCGAATTTGTAACAGCCTGTATATTTATGTATTTTTTAATTCTACGGCAAATTCTAGACTAATTTATATAGGGTACTATAGGCCAAAATGTGACAATTTTCAGGTTAACAATTTCGAGAAAAATTAATGAAATTTGGCATGGATAATTTGAAAGCAATGGAATTCAACCAGTTTGCTAAATTTGCAAAAATGGTGTTTAAAAACGTGTGGCCAATATTGTGACGTTGAAGTTAAATTTACTCAAATATTTCAAATGGTACACCCTGTATTTTATTATATATACCCTATATCCAACAGTTCTTGTGTAAATTAGAAATTTTTCATTTCAACACAGAAAAAGAATTGTATAACAGACGGTGTCTGATTAATGAACTTAAATTTTTATTATCGTTATACCTTCATTAAAAACAATAATGCAGTATATTAAAATAAAAAGAGACGATGCTTTAAATAAACCCACCACACTCGTAGTTGATGATGACTTCCGGTATAACAGGAAGTGCGAGGAAGTTGATTTTCATTGAATAGATCTTTTTTATAAACCCCTATATAAATTTTAAGATTTGAATTCTGACTTCTTTTTGAGATAATCCTACTGGACCATCTTCGTGATATACCATATACCCCATATAGTAAACAGCTAAGTGTTATTTTAATTAAAGGCACATAGCTAATACAATACGAAACATCGCCTTAATGTTAAAAATGTTGTCACTGCCATTCTTGGGGGGTGAAAATTCGAAATATTTGAAATTTTTCAATTTTCTTAGCTGAAAACATACATAGGAATTGAATTCTCGAAACCGAGAGAGTTGCATTAACCAAATTTGCAAAGGTACATCGCTAATACAATGCGAAACATCGCCATAATGTTAAAAATGTTGTCAACGCCGTTCTAGGGGGTGAAAATTCGTAGATAACAAAATTTTACACCAAATTTAAACTAATTATGTTTAAAATGAAAAAAAAGCGGTGAATAACCTAAACTGCATAGTAAATATGAATATGTGCTACTCCCACTCCGTCTTTGACCGCTGCGCGACGGTAGCCGTGACCACCGTGTAAACACTTAAGTGTAAACAAGTAGAGTTAAATTGACTGCATATTACAAATTTAACATTTCCTTTTTCTTTCATAAGTTTAATTATCTAATATTGTAAACTAAATTTTAGATTCAATTTTTTTACTGTGAAAACTATAAACTATGAAAACGTGGGGGGTGCCGCCACAGAGCCCCCGCACACCCGCCGATGGTAATATTAACATTCAAATTCGTCTCTAGAATGATCTTAAGAAGTTACAGTCTATAATAGCTTGTCACTTAATCAAACTGACGTTAAAATCTACAGTTAGTTTTTTTGGGGTGTAATAAATATCTAAGGTAGTATTTCACTTGCTACTGTCTCTTTCCCTTCGCATTATTCTTACAGAAAAAGGAAACTTTATCACTTTTATCGGCAATCTACATCTATGAGTCACTAAAAGGCCAAGGAAAACGTTTCGTTATAGCCTCGAGCACGTTCCCAACATTGCAATTGATTCAAAATTTATATATAGATAATCACTGCGGGTACAAATTAAATTCTATAAATAATACAACTGTTTATCTACCATTGTCGTCGGGCGCTTTGTTATTAACAGTTTACAATAAATTATGTAGACATGTAATGGTTTCCGCTAATTGCATCTTACTAATAGAACAATTCACAGTGCATACAAATTAACAGGGACCCGTTCGCCAACGTTTGGGTCAATATTTGATTGTTTGCCGGGAAATTTATGTCTTGAATTAAATTGAGTCCTACCGTACTGCACTTCTGAGATGGTGTTAACGATGATGATAATTACTTTCATTAACCGTTCACGTAATCATCATTATGAGGAAAGAAATATGAATTGTATTGATCTCGAGCTATTTTTATTCCAATATCAGCACAGTGAAGCTTTTGGGGCCGAGGGTCATGTATTTTTTCAAATTTTAGTTCAACAGAGGATAATTTATACATGGTGTCCCTTAATTCCACTGCCAATCTTCTACAGGACAGTAAAAATTAACATAAAAAGATCAAATAAACCTAGGGGTCAATCCTTTTGATATTTTCTACACTAGTTGAAATATCACTACCGAATTTGATACACAATTTTAACTATTGATGACTCATACTTACACAGGTTCGCAACCAACTGGGTTGCATGGGACCCATTTTTCATAGCCACCTTGATAAAAATAAATCGATTTCTTTTGTCTTCTGGAAAATGTACACTTGGATTTTCTAGTATGAAACAATGATGGTAATTGAATAAATTATTGCTCTTGACAAATTTTGCTAAATATATGTAGAATATTGGTAGTCAAATTAAGGAGCACCCTGTATATTTACTTATTTTTATGATATCAAAGAAATTATCTCCTGCTCTTATTTCCCATAGTTACAACTAAAAATCGTCTGCATATATTAATTTATGGCAACTGAAAAAGGAGGTAATGCCATTAATAAAAACAGGAAAGAGAAGAGGGTCCAGATTAGAACCCTGGAGTACTCCAAAAGTAATAAGATATTATAAAGTTTAACTGTCATATCTAAGCAAAATATACATTATGTCCCACCAATTCCTTTTGGTGTATAGTTTTTGAGATAATTTTTAATAACCTTTAGTCTTAGTTTTGATTGTACTAGAAGTCAAAGTTAAAAAAAATAGTTTATAAATNATTATCTTAAAAAGTAGTCAGAATTGAAATTTGAATATACAGGGGTTTATCAAAGAGATCTTTTCAATGAAAACGATGTCAACTTTCTCGCACTTCCGGTTATACCGGTAGTCATCATCAACTCTGTTATTTCAAATGGAACACTCTATACAGGCTGTTACAAATTCTCTTCTCACTATAGGGATCTCGGGAATGGGGAGAGATACGAACTAGCTTAAATGGAGACAAAGTTGCGTAATCAGGGGACCAACATTATGCCTCTAAAAAATCAAGGCTAACATTATTAGTTTTCGAAATATTTGAAAAAAAACGAAATTTTGGAAATCCGTGTTTGTTTCATTTCAGTCTTGTTTGAGGTGATACTGAAAAAAATAAAAACACTTTCTCATAGACACTTTTTATCCTCTATCGAATGGTATAATCAATTTTTATATGTAAAGTTTCGTCTCTCCAGGACCATCATCAACTTCATTTTTTAAATACGACCCTGGAAATTTTATTATATTTTTTGCAAGCCTTCATGACCCCAATACGTACTGCCTCAGCCTGAACCAGATTCAGACATTTTGTCTCGAAAAATTCATCGTCAATGTTTTTGTTCCAAATATATCTAATTTTTTATTTTATTTATTTTTATCGTACACTCAAGTGTCGTTAGACTCTGTGAAATCCACCTAGTTATTTAAACTATTACCATCACACGTTACAATAAAACATTATTAGTTCAAATAACAAAGTGGATTTCACAGTGTCTAACGACACTTAAAAAGTACAGTAATTCAATAAACATAGAAATCTAAAAAAAAAAATTAGATAATTTTGGAACTAATACATTGAAGATGCATTTTTTGAGACAAAACGTCCGAATCTGGTTCGGGCTGAGGCATAATTCCATTGGGGATTATGAAGACTTGCAAAGATGTAATAAAATTTCCAGGATCGTATTTAAAAAAATGAATTTGATGATGATCCAGGAGAGACAAAACGTTACATAATAAAAATTGATTATGCCATTCGATAGAGAGTAAATAGT